AGCATTAATGTCAAAATGTGTTTACATCTACCACAGATTCGTCCGTTTATCAATTCCGATCACACCCGTGTCCACAGATGATAGTTTGTCACTCTAACCTTAATTTAAGGATCACCGTCTCAATACCAAAAAACTCATTACTATATGCAATGGCAACTGATTTTCCCGACGTGACTAAAGCTTTGATAAATCCTTTCTATAACTTCGGAGGTTTTTTTATTCGAAAGTAATAGAGATGAAAAAAAAACCACAATACTATTCTGAGCGTAAAAAAATAGCGTGGATTAACCGTGATTCTAACCCTGGACTTCAAGTTGTGATACCGTCGCTTTCACATTTACATTTCAACAATTTTTATTGGGACACAAAAATTGCTTTTACAAATGAAGGTGCCTATTTGACGGAAACCCCCTTACCAAATGGCGCTCCTGTTATGTACAAACGAAACGAAGGGGAGGTAACTGTATATACGGGAAAAACAGTGGAATTCTCTGGTGTTTTATCGGCATTGCGACAGGTATCCTTAAAGTGTCGTCTTTCTGAATTGTCATATATTACAGGAAGGTAGAATGACACTTCATTTGGTCATGTTATTCTGGCAACGGACTTTACAGTGGTGCCTTGAAATATATAACCGACTGTGAGAGAAACAACAGTAATCCAAAGTTTTACAACACTATGTGAGCATTTCTTCAAGTTAATAATTAATTGCAAGAGATCTGAGCTCTCTTCGACGTCCCCATAAAATTAGCCTACAAGAGAGAAAAATCCGTTTCTACGGGGACACCATTTCCGTCACCTCATAGTATTATGTTGTTGGCTACAAAAGGTCACATAACTCGTCTCATATCATGTCGTTAGCTACAGTAGGTCACATAACTCGCCTCATATCATGCAGTTAGTTACAGTTCACATAACTCGCCTCATAATATGTCGTTTTCTACACCAGGGCACATAACTCGCCTCATATTGTCATGTCGTTCTCTACACCAGGTCACATAACTCGCCTCATATTATGTCGTTTTCTACACCAGGTCACATAACTCGCCTCATATCATGTCGTTAGTTACAGTTAGTCACATAACTCACCTCATATCATTATGTCGTTTTCTACACCAGGTCACATTACTCGCCTCATATCGCGTTGCTGACTACAGAAGGTCACATATCTCGCCTCATATCATGTCGTTTTCTACACCAGGTCATATAACTCGCCTCATATCATGTCGTTAGTTACAGTAGGTCACATAACTCGCATATTATCATGTTGTTCGCTGCATCAGGTCACATAACTCGCCTCATATCATCATGTCGTTTTCAACACCAGGTCACATTACTCGCCTCATATCGCGTTGTTGACTACAGCAGGTCACAAATCTCGCCCCATATCATGTCGTTTGTTACAGCAGGTCCCATTAGTCGCCTCATACGATCAGTCGTTTCAGCAGGTCCCATTAATCGCCTCATACGATCATATCGTTAGTTACAGTAGGTCATATAAGTCACCCCATATCATATCGTTGGTTACAGCAGGTCCCATAAGTCGCCTCATACGATCATGTCGTTAGTTACAGTAGGTCATATAATTCACCCCATATCATATTGTTGGTTACAGCAGGTCCCATAAGTCGCGTCATACGATCAGTCGTTACAGCAGGTCCCATTAGTCGCCTCATACGATCAGTCTTTACAGCAGGTCCCATTAGTCGCCTCATACGATCATGTCGTTAGTTACAGTGGGTCATATAAGTCACCCCATATCATATCGTTGGTTACAGCAGGTCCCATTTGTCGCCTCATACGATCATGTCGTTAGTTACAGTAGGTCATATAAGTCACCCCATATCATATCGTTGGTTACAGCTGGTCCCATTAGTCGCCTCGTACGATCATGTCGTTACAGCAGGTCCCATTAGTCGCCTCATACGATCATGTCGTTAGTTACAGTGGGTCATATAAGTCACCTCATATCATATAGTTGGTTACAGTAGGTCACATTAGTCGCCTCATACGATCAGTCGTTACAGCAGGTCTCATTAGTCACCTCATACGATCAATCGTTGGTTACAGCAAGTCTCATTAGTCGCCTCATACGATCATGTTTGGTGTATGCTATGATAACCGCCTCATATAATCATATCATAGGAAACAGACAGTTAATGCCTAACACTTCGAACCTGTACAAACCTGCCGATCAGAAATATGAAAACGTCAGCCTTGGAAAAATAGAGCTAAGCGCTACTTGATATACAGTGATTAGTTGAAACTTCCGTTTTGAGGGAACCTTAAGTTGCATGCTACACACTAAATGGACCTTCATGTCTGTTGTTCTATAATCCTCAAATTAAAAGTGTATACGTTTACGTTGAAGGATGTTTCCCCAATGTTAATGGGGAAATGACATCATTATTCCATATATATGTCCTCCATAGCAGTTTTTAGTTACTGCCTTACGGTCGGTATTCTCAATGACGACAGTATTGGACAGAGGATATACCTTCTCATTCAAGTTGTCCTTGAGAAAGCTGAAACATTGCTTATCATATCAGCAATGATGTAATTAAGGATTTTTAATCAATTTTCCCGCAAAATGAACATTGTAACCCTCATTCTACAAATCATCACTATAGATATACATTCTGTACTTGATGAGCTATAACCGTATTAGTATTTCGTTTATGCATATCAAAAGTATACCAATGGTACTTTTATGATCTGGTGAACCATGATATCACGGTTTCTTTTTTGGTTTTTTTAATTTACTTTTAACCTCTGGTTAGTTTCATGAATGACAACACACGAAGTTAATCTTTTCTAAACGCAGAGGAAACATTGTTGTATTTACTCGCCGTAACAGCTTGGTAGAAAAATAGCGTGTAACAACTAACTACATGTAATTGGTATTTTTCATTCAGTATCTAGCGAGGAGTGTGGGGATGAGTGTCCACCGTTCTGCTGGAGTCAATCACACGGACACTTGTCATTGTTAATAGGACGTTAAACAAAATCAAACAAACAAACAAACAAACTTGTCATTAGTTATTTGAATTGGATTAGGACAGTTAGGATACGCAGCGTCTACATATTCAATAGCTTCCATAAGTTTCAGTATGTCAGTTACATTATACATTACTAGAATATGTACCTCCATCGCAAAAGAACTCCTCTCTAAAATTGTAATGTAATATTGTTTGATAATGTTTGATCGGGTACGGTATTCATTGATGCGGAAAACAAAACAATCGTCCAGGTAATTTTGAAAATTATTTGGTAATGTAAAGAGCTTTTTTTAGAGAATACTAGTAGAAATGTGTAAAGTAGATTATATTCTTAAGGGAGATTACTCTAACAAAACATCACATGTACAATGTTTAAGGTAGAATATATCCTAAAGGGAGACTATCTTAACATAAATTATAATTATAATGTGTAATGTAGTATATATCCTTAAGTAAAACACAATTTACAGATATGTGAAAATTTGCATTTTACCTAAATAGGGATAAATCTAATACAAATTGCAACACGTAAAAGGCAGCATATACCCTTAAGCCAACCACACGTCTGATTATCATGTCGGTTTGTTTACTCTCAAGAGTGCCTCGACCCGTTGGTGTTACTGTAAGTTAATGGTCGACATGTGCTTAATCTGAAACGTTCTCATTACAGGTCGAACGCTAGTGGTGAGCCGTGAAGATTACTGACCGAATACAAACAAACGAAGCTCTACCTTGTCAGAACAACCATCACAAACTAATGCAAACTTGGATAGTCCCGCAAATATCTTGTCAAGTTCATCTTAAACCCCAACACCGAACCCGATAACCTCAACAACATACACTTATTTTATGAACCCTACGTACACAGGGAAGTATAGAAGTGCTTGCGTCGGAAGTTCGGGACATTCATCCGTGTTTTTTTTTCTCTTTTTGAAAATGGATGATTTTAATTGACTATAGAATCGATAGAAGCAGTGTGTCTGTCTTGACAAAACACTGAAGCATGTTCTTCCCTTTCCATTGAAGTACGGGACCCTTTTTAAAGTTGAGATCGTGATCTAATTCGCAGGATTTGTTTGCGAAAGGTTTTCCCTTCAAGTCATTCCGCCAATAACATAATGGTGAGATTACCAATATGGCAATAGCAGCGAGCAGAAATCGACTGTTCGCTAAGACGGTAGGCTCAGCAACAGCAACGGGAGATCCTGTAGCGGTACGGAGAGCTAGCTGGTACACGAGTAACACACTCACTGTGAAAACGGCGGACTTGGGTGAGGGCATAGCATATTGGCAAGTGAAGCGGTCACTCATTCTGTTTAAATAGTTGATGGCATTTTTTCTTTAAATTCGTTATTGGATTATAAAACAATACTACGTGAAGAAACACCAACCATTAACATTGCAGTCAGTTTAATATGTAATACAGATGAGTTTGGAATGTAAGTTTAAACATTGAATTGCTTGATAGAAAAGAAAATTGTGGTGGAGTCCGCGTGCAAATAATTGCTCGTAAGGACACCAATTTCGGTTGCAATTCGTATTCAATACGCTTTTCAATTTTAAACAGCAAAGCAGTTTTACAAAAATACTATACGACGTCTAGTGCATGAACAATGTGATTGGATAAAATTGACGCGTACTTCACCAATTGCCAAGCGAGGTGATAATATACATTTTTTCTCAATTTGGTCTACACACGTAGAGTGATCGTCAGTTATCTGAAGACCATCAACGGCAGAAATATTCCACTCTAAATCATAGAACGATAATTACCTGAATTTAAGATACCCAAGTGGTGTTAAAAACAATTTCACTGGTGTTACAAACCAAGCAGGAAAAAGCCATGATATATGGTGATACTTAGAAATGTCGCGTTTACGACAGTCATTATAACTATTGAAATAATCAGATTTTAATAATTCATCATCTTCGACATAGCGGTTTCAAGCACAGTTTTTTTGTGTGTGTGTGTGAGTTGAGCGGGACGGACGTGCAACAAGTATGGCGGACAGTAACGTTGTCGGGAAGTCTTTGGTTTTAAACACCACTTCATCAGTTTTTAACATTTCGGGTTTACCGAGACATATGTTGTGTTATCTGTGGGGAAACTGTACCAATGACACGCGGGACTTGTCTTTCCCGTTTGATCGATGTGATGGCGCTGTGTTCGATTCCTACGTGGATTACACCCAGATCCCCGCCGTTCATACTGCGATAATCGTGTGTTATCTTCTGGTAATGGTCTTTGCTGTATTCGGGAACATCCTGGTGATCTGGACGATCTGGAGGAACACCCATATGCATACTGTTACCAACTATTACATTGTAAATCTCGCCTTGTCGGATTTTCTCGTGTCCTCCATTGTTCTGCCGCTTAAACTCCTGGAATACACAAGCCCCTGTGATTGGCAGATATTCAGCCATGACGCACTTTGTGCTGTCGTCTACTACATCCTTCCAATTTTCGTCTTTGCCAGCGTTCTCACTCTCGTCGCCATTTCGTTAGAAAGGTAAGTGTTTCTTTTATAAAAATTCCATAAATAATTATTTGTATCGCGTCGCAGTTTAAGAGAAACATGACTACAGCTATAAGAGGTTTTCGAATATCTCAACTGAGTTAGTTCAGACGTACCGATGGAACGCAAGCAAATTATCAACAGGATAGATCGTAAATAAAAAAATCATGGTCAGGAGTGCATGTATACCCACAAATAATTTACGCTTCGCAGTAACTTGATAATGAAATAGAGCCATATCGTTGTAAGATGTGTGAGTTTCATTTAAATAATTAATTATATATATAAAGGCTAACCAAGATATAACTGAAACCACATTACAATAACCTAAAATCATACAAGCGTTACATTTTTGGCGAAATTCAGTCTCTGTAAGAAAATTGTTTCTGGAATTCTAGAATTTGACCTCGGCAAATGTCCTTGACTAAACAGCGTTTTGTTTTTGTTCGTAATAATACTGTTGAAATATTTCTGTCTCAAGAAAGTGCTGTTAATATTTAACAAAAACTTTAATGGAGCGATAACATGAACCTTACGGACGTATACGTGTGGGGTGAATTTGAACCTCATTATCTCAAAATAGATGAAATAATGATTCGTCTTTCAGATTGACAAGGTAAGCATGTGTATAATTGCATTAAAATGTTTCTTCTCTTAGTTGAGACCGGTAATCAATGCAAATTCAATGGAGTTTCGATGTTTCAACAGTATCATCACTTTTTTTCGAAAAAGGAACGCAGAAATAAAAATATAAAAAACCCATTTCTCCGAACTTAGTGTAATCTAATAGACAGTAGAGATAATTGATGGAGAAATAGACATATTGGATTCCCATTGATTTACCTTACTACACTGTCAAATGGTTATATTGTTAGTACAAGCTTTGCCACGCCTCAATGTGCAGCTCCATGAACAAACAATTATTGTATTTGACAACAACTGGGGCTGATTTAAATCCGCGTTTATCAAGTCGGTAACACGGCTACTATAGCTAATTATGTATCTTAGTAGCCGATACACTTAATCTATTTTTTTCTCGAGTTCTTCGACATGCAGGAAGTATTTGGCTATGTTTAATATTCAATGTTTTTAAAAGAAACGCAAACGTTTTTATATGAGAATGTGTACTACAAGGATTTATCATCCCGAAAAACGATGATACTAACCGAGGTCAAAGGACCAGAGAGAAGTCGATATTGTTTTTATGAAAAACACTCAACACCGGCGGAATTAATAACGTTACAAGTTGTCCTGTTGGTTAGTCTTTCGACCATACTTGGGTAACCAAAAAATCCCTGTTGCTATTTTTAGGAATTGCACGTACTGGTTGTATACAGATTTATTTTGTGTTCGCACGTGCTGACTTACGGGGATTTCAAATAAGAATGCATCTAATCACACAAAAACGTTAACGATAAAGTTTCAATTTTTTTTCTGATGATTAGTCATTGAACAAAAATTGGGTTACCAAAAAATACCTGTTTGTGTTGCTATTTTTAGAAGTTGCACGTGCTCGTTGTATACCGATTTGTTATTTGAACGCATCTGATCACGCCAAAAACACATTAATAATAAAAATCGGCAGTGACCGACATACAAGGAAACATTAAAGTTGGGAAGGACTGTATTTATTTGTTTTCCCTTCAGGTTAGATTGATTAGAACTATCACACCCTGTACATTTGAAGACGGTACTAAGTTAATAGAACGTCTCTGGTTTTAACGAGTGTAGTTAATATCTTGTTTTCTCCAGACGCTGATGATGACAAAAAGCTAGATAGCGTGGGACGGGTAATTTAAGGTGTCTTTATGGAAAAGTTATAACGAAAGGAAAAGCAAAATAAAAGTAAATTTTGTTTGAGTGTATATCAGTGACTATACATCAAACGACGAAATAAATTATCATTGGACAGGTTTTTGTAACACATTACATGTAGTTAAGCACCGGTCTAAACATCTGGTAACTAGGATCTAGTTCCTAAACCTATGTTTAACGATTCCGACATTTTTAAAGAGGAACGGATGACAACCCGTTGAGCGAACGAACACTCTCTGATCCATTCATCCATTACAAATAATGTATAAAGTTTGGTTTTTTCTTTTGTAATGCGATATTGTGGAACTCACTAAAATCTCACCAGCACTTATTGAGTCTACAACTGGCAAACTGGCAACAAGACACAAGAATTGGATTTCATTAACGTGTATTCCTTTATTCCTATAGTTTGAGCTGGAAACATATACACGTATACCCAACGAACAATGTTCATTAAAGAGGTATGGCGGAAAACTGCCCGTATTTCACTAGGTCGGCATTTTTGAAAACGGAAAAAAATATTGATGAGTAAATAATCTTTAGTAGCAAAAATGCATGGAATAAATATAAAACCAATTGAATATGAATTTTTGAACTGTTGAGATATTCGGTATTGTTGATATAATACTGCACATATAGCCATATTCACTATATATATGAAAGTGAAGGGGTTTCCCAGACTTAAAAAAATACTTTCAATACTTTCCCGTCCGAGGACCAACTTTTGAATAAACATTTGATTCCGTGATGTAATATGCAAAAACAAATCGTATGACGGAAAAGAGGTCCTCCTTTGGGAAAGTGCCCAAAATAATGAAAAACTGGGTTGATCATTTTTTTTAAAACTGCGACAGATGTTTCTTGGGTTAGAGCAGTTTGTATTTCCCTTTCTGTCTTTGTCCGATGAAGCCTAATGTGTAATGCAGTTAGCTTGTGACCAGAAAATGTGAACAGTGTAGGTTCGAATCCACATTCAGATTCTCTTTTTTATTTTTTACTTTTGTTTAATATTTAGGCATGTGATTATTTTCCTTAATTAAGTGAAAGATATTTTTCAAATCAATAGAACATTGTATTGATATTCTAATAACATACCTATTGATTTATCTTCTATGGAATCATGTCAACAAATCCCCTATATGCGTGTACAGTACAGCTTCGCTTTGTAGTTGAGACATCATAATTTAAATGATATTTTTGAATTGTTTTACCGTCCAATTGGCACTAGTATTTTTTATTTATTATGTTAACGCAAACAAACGATGCCGAAATACAAAATATATGGGATTGGTACAAAGCAAAAAAATGAAGTGTTATTATCGAAAAGATATTACCGAACATGCGGGAAATTCATCGTCGAGGCCAGTCTCATTTGTTTTAAATGCAGGAAGACTGCAGCACAAAGTTAGGAGCGCAATACACGTGTAAGACAAGCTATTCGAAAACTATATGTAATTTTATCATTCCGAGTTAAAGAAAGAACAAAATCAAGATGTGTGTTTAAAAAAAACCCAAGTAACAGCATGACGTAGCAGAAGTAATGAAAACTAAATCCTTTCATGAATGTACGATCTTGTGTTTTATACAGTATAACGCGAAATACGCATGTATTAGTAGCCATGGCCTTGAATTCGTCTGTTTACAATAATCTATTCTTAGACACAGGATTCCGATCGAGCTACCTGTATAGAAATACCTGAGGACGCGTCATAACAGTGCACGGTTGGAAGCGCGCGCTATAGCGGATCATACATGTAGCTTTGAGGAAATAGGCATAGCAACCCGCCATAGCTCTTTAACTGACTTACTTATGTTTTAAAGTTATTTTGTTATGGGGGAATGCTTTTAAGTTTTAAAGGATCTGCCTCAGAAGGGGAAAAAAATAAAACTATTCTCGAAATGATTTCTCTTTAAAGCCTCCGTATCTTTTTATCATTACCATCATTGTGATAAAAATATTGTAATGTAATTTTCTAGTGCTGGCAGATATGTGTTCAAAATAGAACCCACAACTGTTAATTTAGTTGCTTTTCCTAAAATGATTTTACTCTAATTTCGTCCTTTGATGTTGATTAGGTCTGCGCATAAAGAAATACAAATCTTTAAAGTTTTACTTCCGGGAAACGTTTGATGAACAAGCTCTCTCTAATGACGTCACTGAAAATCAATAAAACAGTTTGAATATGAAATCCCGACGAATAGAATATTATCGGATATTTTATAAACTGTGATTGCGAAACATAAAACAGACAATTTCACAATGAAGGAAATTGCATCAAATCTGTCAAACAGATTTTGTATTAAATACTATTTTGTTGAAACTTTTTTGCTACACCATAACGATGAGGGACTTAAAGTGCGTTAATATATTCGGGAATCAAACAGTTATATTTCAGCTTTGGGAAATTGTAGATCTTTTTTCAAAATGACTGGTGAAATAAATTCAAAGTGTCAAGATGGAAGAAATCTGTCATCAGTTCCAAAAATAAATACTTAATCTGGAAAATATCGTACGAGATCCCGCATTCGTCACTAGGTGGTAACCAGATTACCACGTCACTGGTAACGATACATATTCCTTTGACCATTATCCTATTAGTTTTAGCTAATGAAGCGTACTAACCAAGATCTCATTTTTTCCGGATAAACAGTCCACATTTTGCTTGGGAAAAAGAACACCCATCCGTTTATATTAATCATGTATATGTCTCCGTCTAGGGAACACGATTATTTGTTTCACCAATAACACAATAACAAAGATGATTAGATTGACGCGTCGTGAGTCTCGTCTGCTTCAGTCGCTCGAGAGATCAAAGCTTACCTGTGTGATTCTTACATTCATCTTAAAAGTTGTTGCACTTTAAATAATGGCCACTAAAACAGCGACCACTGTTAAGCTAGTGTTTTCTAAAATGTTATCCAAGATTATCAGTACATTAGCAAATATTAACAGTCAAATACTTACCAAAGCAGAACGTTGATCCATTCCTGCAATATTCCACCTTACTATGACGATGGAATGCTCATAAAATGTAAATTGACTTATAAAACGCCATTACAGGTGTAAATTGACTTATGAAACGCCATTACAGATGTACATTGACTTATGAAACGCCATTACAGGTGTAAATTGACTTATGAAACGCCATTACAGGTGTACATTGACCAATGATTTTGTT